ACTCTTTAACAAACTCTTTTCAAGTTTCACTATATGCTTACAATGGAAACTCTTAAAGCTCAATAATTTTCTCAAGGTAAGAGTTATCTCCTCTTGTTTAGTTGTTATAATAGACAATCCTGTTGTGAAAATAAGGAAAACTCAAATGTACACTCAAAAAAGACCTGGAGATCAGCATTGTGTCATAGCTCAGTTCCCGTGACAATTCCTTAAGAGCATTCTCAGCTCCATCTTGCCTGAGGAAACTGTCCATTTCTCAGCAAATAAATATTTCTTTAAATCTCTGTATTATTCTCCCTTTCTCCTTTTCTTAGCGCCACCCCAAGCCTAATAAGAATCCTCTTCTAGGTTTTAAATAATTGCCTTACTTCAGAAACTCCAAATACTGCTCTAGAGAGAATCTCTTGTGCCTCCTACTAAGTGCAACTTTCTGGTTAACTGGAAACTGTGTACTTAGTGAGTCCAGAGCTTGGCTTCAGGCTGGGACTTCAGGGAATACAGAGCAGTGGCCCTGCTGCCCCTGGGTGCCCAACACAGCCCACGGCTGCCTAAGCAAATCACCTCCTGATTGGTTCCATTAGAGTGATTTCCTAAAACCATGCTCTTAAAAGAGTGTTCAGAACCACAGAGGAGACAAAAAGAAGGCACATTACTGCACCTGAGATCATGCGAGAAGCTTTTCACAAAATATTTGCCTGCTGTACGAGTTTTGGGGAAATTGTCCTTGCCTTACTATACTGGGTCCTGCGTTCCAGCGTGACCCCACTCTGGGCTTAGTTATTCAGGGGACTATCCCGATACTGCGGCATACCCAGTGCCTCCAGGGCTTGAGCTATTTGAACATCCTAAATTAGTTGACGGCAAAGAGAAAAAGCTACCTACTCTGTAAAGGGTCAGACTCCTGTGACAGACGTTCTCTTGCAGGGAGACTTTACCTATGACTTGCCTAACCATGATGGCAAGGATGGAACATATGGAGCTGCCTCTTCCCAGAAGAGCCAGGAGAATGGTAATGTCGTCTCTGATATTCTGGTATTCCACCTATTTTTCCACCTGTAAAGTTCTGTGTGTGTTTTAACTCTGCTGCTTATTCTCTCCCCCACCTCCACCTCCTGCCACTTCATGATCCATTCCATTAGTCCTAAAGCAGGAGGCTCCTGATCCACCCATTCCTCATCCCTAAACTATCCTACTCCTTGGCAGATCATCTCTCCTGGATGAGATCTGACATCTGTTTCTCCAAATGGTGCATTTGTACAACTGCTTTGGACACCTTCTCAGAAAGGTCTTTCTTCCCTCCCTGCTTAACAGCTGAGGAAAATGACACTTTAAAATCTAAACATAAATCCTCTTGCTTTAGGATTCCGAAAGATTGCAAAAAGCCAAAGCCTGGAATTGAAATGCGGACATCAGAGATAGATATTGCACTGTTTTGAGGTACTTATTTATCTGCTTGCTCAGTACACCAGTTGGAAGAACTGCAGTAGATTTTTTTTCTGTTATTAACATCACCCTCATATCTAGTAACCATGGAGACACTGTGCATAGTGCGAAGGAGCACAGGAGGGGACAGCTCTGACGATCATTTCGAGTGGATGAAGCCTGCTTTTGGTCCTTCCTGCCTCCGGAGCTGATATTCTTCTCTCAGGTTCAGATTCCTCCCCCTGCACCTAGGGTCTGACTGTTGCCCCTCAACCCACTCAAGTCACCCTGTCCAGCCTGACCCTCCACACACACCCTTCACTCATTTCTTTATTCCAGAAACATTTTTAAGCAGTCAATGTAAGCAAGGTTCTTTGACAGATACCTAAAGAATCTCTTTATTTTATGCTCTCAAATAGCTGATCCTTGAGCGAGATCAGGTAACTAACATAATATCTCCATCAGTTCCTTTTAACTTTGGGCTTACTCCTAAATCAGTGAAATAAACCTGTGATTTTCTGTATTAACAGCTGAATTAGAGAAGATATTGAATTTAATGAACCTCCTGAAAGCCATAAATTCATAAACATACCCAATATCCTGCTTCATCTTTTTGTAAGAGAAATTGATCCAGGCATGTCATGGATATGGTGTCTGTTGGTAAAATGGTGACACGGGTGCTTATCTAAAACACTTCTGAAATCCTCATTTTACATCTCCTACCCCTCCATGATCAACCTCCCTGTCTTTCCCTATAGTCTTTTCCTGCTCTCACCCAATATTCTAAATCTGGCATCAGTCTTTTATACAGTAGGATTCAATGAAGCCAACATCTTCCCTTCCTAAGAGTGGCTGCAAGTGTGACTTATTTTTATGCTTTAAAATGCTTTTATGCTTATGATCTAGAATTCAAATGAAAAGAGTTGTCCCTGGTCATGAAAGAAACCTCGGGCATCAGTCTGAGGTGTTATTTAGGGATGGTGAGGGAGAGGGAGGTTCCTTCCTTAGTGATAACTTGAAAATCACACGCAGAGAAGTAGCTGCCGCCTTCATTCATAGAAAATATTCGTGTCGGATAGGACAGAACATGATTCTCTGCAAATACTACAGTTCTTAAGGCCAGGTTCTTAATATGAGAGCTTGAAGCCCCTGTGGACACTGTGGCTAGGTCCCCCTTTGTGAGTGAAAGTGGAGGAATGGAAGCAATTTTCAAGATAGCCGTATCAATAAATTTTTGAAATATCTAAATCTTGGGAAAGACTGGCTTCTGTTCGTCATTTCACTTTGCTGGTAGAGATTCAAGATACTGCTTTCAACAGCATTGACACTTGTATCCATGCAGGAGCCTCAAAAGTGATTTCTCCAGCTGGTTCTGCTTCACCAACAGAAGATCAAAGGTAACCTCCTGAAGACACACAAGGGTGAACATTGCCCTGTTTGTCCTGGCACACAGGTTTGTTAAAGAAATCAGAATTTAAGCTTCACTTGATGTAAGTTCTCTTGATATAAGCTTCTCTTGATATAAGTTCCTTTGATATGTTTGTTAAAGAAATCAGAATTTAAGCTTCTCTTGATGTAAGTTCTTGATATAAGTTCCATCTCTTGATGATAGATTGTTGGCAAGCTGTATAGGTCAGAAACAGAGCTCTCTGAATCAGCAAGACTGTATAATTTTGTGAGGACAGAAGCCTCTCATGGGATCAGATTGTGGACTGATGGACAAAAACAGAATACTGGCCAATTAGCCCCAAAATGTCCAAGTGAGGCAGGAACCTTCACATAAGACAGTGACTTACCACAAAGTCCTAGAAATTAGGGTTCAAAGTGATTCTTAGTATCGGCACTAGTATAAACTACTCACAAAGCTGATACCTAGAGTAAGAGGGTGAAAGAGAAGTTTAAAAGAAAACTGTAAGAATCTTTTCACTCTGACCCTCCTGGGGCAATAGAGTATCCATACCATGAATGCAAGAGCTTCTTGCAATGGTGGCAAACGTGCTAGTGGATTATACAAAAAAGAGAGGGCATCAAAGGATGTTGCAAGGACATGAGACAGCACATTCAGCAGCAGTAGCCCCTGTGCAACATAGGCAGGCATCATGGCATCGCTGGTGGACAATAACATCAGTAACGTTTCTGCCAGGCAGTAGTACACCTGGGGCCACTGGAATGAAAGGATGAGACTTAGCTTAGAGTAGTCAGGAGGGCTTGTCTGAGGCACACATGAGATGCCATAAAGAGATTATTCCAAGATAATCTAAGAGGAATTTGAGAGGTGATCAGAAGCTCATGGGTGGGGACAGAATGAATGGGGACAGAGCCAGAGAAATGCTGATTTATCATTGTTGTTGTTAAGTTATAGCCCTTATTGTCAAGGAACTCACAATCCAGGGAGGAAAACCAAGATGTATATTTAGCATGAGAAAAGAAACAGAATTTAGACTATGACATAAGGCAGCTGAGACCAAGGGGTCCAGTGATTTCAACAGAGAGCTGTGGGTTAAAGGGTAGAGCAGGCAAGACAGGCTCTAAGGAAATAAGTCTGTTTATAGGGCACATTGGAAGGGCTGGGAGAATTTGAATCAGTGGAATTAGGAGGACATTTGAAAGAAGAAGAATAGAAATAGACCTTTCTGTACTGAAAGCAGCCAAAATGGCTAAAAGGTTAAGGGGCAGATGAGGAAGTGCTCTTAATGTCAGAGTAAGAAAAGCATCCCTTATTCCTGGGGACTAAGCCTAGATATTGGGCTGATAATGTTAGAACATAATGTGGTTTATTTCCTGTTTCTTCTACTTGTTGTCAACATGACATTGCCAAATATTCTTTAGTAGCAGACTTCTCCCAGGTAAATGGGGATAAAATTCCCTGTCCCAAGGATAATAATTCCCTGTCAAATCTCACAGCATTGCCTTGAAACAATTAAGATAAGTAATAAAGGTCTCTGTATATATTACAATCCTATTAAAGTGAAATGTGCTATTTATGAAGGACGGAGCAGGGCACATCATGAATTTCATTGGCCCCAGGCACTTTTGCCATTGTAGTCTCCTTCTTGATAAAATATATTAAAATTTGTGCTTTATGATTACAGTTATAGAGAGAAATAGAATCCAGTCTGCATTTTTTTCCTTCTGATCTTTAAAAAAACAAAACAAAACATTTCCATCAGCTGTAAAAGAATTGTGGCCCTTGGCACTGTACCTACTGCACCAACTGGATGTCAATCCTATTAAGATTTTGAACAACAACAAAGAAATATGATTGGGAAACTGAAGAGAGAAGAGAAGGTTTAGATTTGTGCTAGAACTTGTGCTAGAAATTTTAGGATTTCTAAAGGAAAGGAAGGACGGAGTGGAATCAAAATACTGTGAAGGTAGAGGTAAGCCAGAGATACTCATTTTCCCAGTAAATGCCTATGGAAGAAGAATGGGATTATCTGAAGTATGTGAAGACTGGGACCCAAGATCAGTGACCACAAAACAGGATGAAAACACTGAGATACAGTTAGGGCAGCTTTGAGATGTCTGAGCGCAGAGTCTAAGCAGAGCAGGGAAGGATGTGTGAGAAGAGGGGTGAAGCTCTGGAGAAGACAGACGCTCTCATCCCTCTTTCTATTTCACTCCAAAGAAAGGTCCTCCACAAATGGCCTTGAGGAACCACAGCACCATCACCGAGTTTATTCTCACTGGGCTGTCTGATGACCCCCACATCGAGGCTCTGCTCTTTGTGCTCTTCCTGGGGATCTACCTCCTGACCATGATGGGGAACCTAACGATGCTGCTGGTGATCAGGACTGACTCCCACCTCCACACGCCCATGTACTTCTTCTTAAGTAATCTCTCATTCCTAGACCTCTGCTTCTCTTCTGTCACTGTGCCCAAGCTACTGAAGGACCTCCTGTCTGAGAAGAAAACCATCCCTGTTGAGGGCTGCCTGACTCAAGTCTTCTTTGTGTTTATCACTGCAGGGACCGAAGCCTTTCTGCTCTCAGTGATGGCCTATGACCGCTATGTTGCCATCTGCCATCCACTATTTTATAGCCAAGTGATGAGCAGCCAGTTCTGCATAAAGCTTTTACTGGCCTCCTGGGGTCTGGCCTCTTTCAATTCAGTCATAATTGTGCTTTTGGCTATTAACCTGGACTTTTGTGAGGCTCAAATCATACACCACTACACGTGTGAGCTGCCCTCCCTCTTCCCTCTGTCTTGCTCTGATATCTCTGTCAATATTGACATCTTGATCTGCTTAATCTTACTGCATGGTTTTGGAACGTTCCTCCCAGTCTTCTTCTCTTATGTTCGCATTGTCTCCACCATCCTGAGCATCAGCTCCACTACAGGCAGAAGTAAGGCCTTCTCCACCTGCTCCTCCCATCTCATTGCGGTGGTCCTGTTCTTCGGCTCAGGTTTTGTTCGCTATCTCATGCCTTCCTCTGGTTCCTCCCTGGATTTGCTCTCCTCCTTGCAATATAGTGCGGTCACACCCATGCTGAACCCCTTCATCTACAGCCTCAAGAACATGGAGGTGAAGGCAGCTGTGAAAAGGGTGTGGGAGAAATATCTGCAATATTTTAGGTAGTGAACAAGGACACAGAATAAGAGCAAATGAGTCTGTGTTGCCAAGTGCTTGGACTTAAGATAGAATTCTAGACCACTAACTTTAAGGGAGCCCTGTACCACCCTCTCCCTGGCTATCTTGAGAATGAAAAATAAAATACAAGAAATTATATCTTGTTTATGGCTATAGATCTGTGCTCTATTTTTCCTCCTACTCTCTCACACCACCACCTCCACTTTCTTTCTGGAACTCAGACGTTTTGTATTTCCTGCATTAATCATTTGTGTATCCTGTCACTCATTTTTTGTCTTATTGATTGACTTTGGTAAAGATTTTATTTAATTTGTTGTTCTCTGTGGTATTTAACTATTTTTATTTATTCTTTATAATGTTAAAGTTTTAAATATATATTTATAAGTTTAAACCTTAAGAACAAAATATGTTGGCACCTCCCACGAAAGATTATAGATTTATTTTACTTTAACAAACTCTCTCTTCTCTCTGCCACGTCCATTCACTCCCTTCCTCCCTTTTTTTCTACCTTCTGTAATTTTTTTCCTGGTAATCTTCCACAAATTATTCTATTTACATTTTGTAACATTCAAATCAAGTATATTACGGATTTTAATTATAATTTCTATAGTCATTTGGGCTCATTCTAATTTGAGCTTATTTGATATTCACTGGTATTCCTTTAATAGCACGTTCCTCCGTTTTTTCTTTTCCACAGTAGAGCATAATGGTTAGATGCATAGTCTTACACGGCCAGTCGCCTGTATTCCTACCCTCACTCTACCCTGATAAGCTTTATGACGCTGGTAAATTACTTCATTTCTCTGTCTCAGTTTCCTAGGTGTAAAATTGGGGTAATAACAGTGCCTACATTACAGAGGTATTGTGAGAATTAAATGAAATGAATACACAGAGCCCTGGAACACTAATACTCATTACCTGAGTGTTACTCATCAGTTATTCATGAGTTCTTTATCTCATTCTGCTTTCATTTTGTTGTAATGTGCACTTACCCAGATTTTTTTTAAGAAATAGACATTATGAAATATTCTAAGACCTTGTATATCTGTGAACCTCTTTATTTTGACCTACATATGAATAAAAGGTGGCCTAATTGTAGAACTTGGGGATTCTCATCTTTTTACCTCTGTATAGATTATACATTGTCATATTGTAGCTAGTATTCTTCAGAAGAGTAAAGGTAGCAGGACATTTTTGTCACAAACAAAAGAAAGAAAACAAAATAGTGCCAAGAGAGCACAAAAACTTTTTTTTAAGTTTTAAAAGTGATAACATCACAGAAAAATTCAAGAAGCACATATTATAACAATAACAGAAATATAAATTCATCAAATAAAAGGAAAAGACTTTAAGAGTGGGTCAAAAAAGTTACATGATATATATACACAATAAAGACTTCAAACAAAGTGACTCATGAAGGTTGAAAGTTTTTTCAGTTGTTCAAAGATCTACTTATTTATTTATAATGGAGGTACTGGGGATTGAACCCAGGATCTCTTGCATGCTAAGCAAGCACTCAACCACTGAGCTATACCCTCTCCCACAAAAATATTTTAAATACAGCTACAAAAATTTTTCATTTATTATGCAATATAAAAAGAGGTGAAACTGACATCAAAAACATAAAAGGGGAAGTGAAAGGGTAGAGATTTTGCATGTAATTGAAGTTAAGTTATCAACCCAGATGAAACTCTTATGAGATGTCTAAGTTTCACAGTAACCACAAAGCAAAAACCTACAATATATACACAAAAGTTAAAGAGAAGGGAATCAAAACATATCGATATAGAAAGTCATCAAGTCACAAAAGAAGACAGCGAGAGAGGAGGAAAGAACAAAGAAACTACAAATAGCATTAGCAATTCCTTGCCTATCAATAATTACTCTGTATGTAAATGGATTGAATTCTCCAACAAGAGGCATAGAGTGGCAGAATGGATTTTAAAAAAAAAAGATAAATAAGTTCTGGAGATCTAATGGACAGCAATGTGAATATAGTTAATCATAGTGTGTTACATACTTGAAATTTACTAAGAGGGTGGATCTTAACTGTTTTCACCACAAAAAAAAAAAATGAGTGTGGGAAGAGACAGGAAATAGGAGAGAGAATCCCTTGCTCATCTCTGGCCCAATATATCGCGCTGTGTGTGGTATCAGTGGTAAGGGAAGAGAATTCGGTGAGCGTTTCAGAAGTCAGGCTTTCCCGCTTAACTCTGATTTCTTATATTAGATCCAACTCAAGTGGTTGGAATTAATTAATTTAGGCATCATTTCCCTCTACCCAGAAAGCATCCATCAACCCCCAAAAGGAAGGAGTACCGTGGAGAGGCTAAGATAACATGACTAGCAATGGTGAGATTTCTCCTGTGTCCACCATTCCTAAGCCTTGGACTGGCCTCTGGTCCCACTCAGATTGGTCCCTAGAGAGTACATGAAAAAAGAACGAAGAGGTGGACTTGGGCAAGAAAATGTACACAGGTGAACAAACATGTCAAAAACCAGTTCTCTCTCCGACCATTGTTAAGTTATCTGGAATCCAGAAAAATGGTAACCCTTTGAGAATTCTCCCACAAAATATGGTGCAATGACCACAAACTGAAAATGGCAGGAAAAACTGTGTAGGTTTAAGTAGTGAGAGGTCACCCTGAGTTTCTCTTAGCCTTAGCATGACATAGGAAGGCAGTGACTGTACTAGTGGAACAAGGATATTTGCTTCAGTGAGCGAGCCAGCAACCTGCAAAGGGTCTAACGGCTGGAAAAAAGAAGTTGAATTAGAAGATGTGCCATGGACAGTCTTGCCAGTAACCGAATGTCACGATAGATTACCAGGGAGGGCCGTACATAAGCACCAGAGGCCATGAGTTACATCTGGAGCAGGAGACAGCATAGGACCAAGCCAGGTCACCATTAAAAAGTAGTCACCTCTGGAATCCTCATATACTGTTGGTAGGAATGTCAATTCTTACAGCCACTGTGGGAAACAGTATGGAAGTTTCCCGAAAAATTAAACTAGAACTACCGTATGACCCAGCAATTCCATTCCTGGGTTTTTATCTGGAAAAAAATAACCACTAATTAGAAAAGACACCTGCACCCCAATGTTCATAGCAGCATTATTTACAGTTGCCAAGACATGGAATTAGCCTAAACTTTTTTACTAAAATAAGAGACATAGCTGCATGGTACTGATCCCGGATCAAGGTATGAAAGGTACTGGTTAATAGTGTTACTTTGTATCCATAGGTTCAAGGTGAGTTCTAAGGTAGTATATCCCAATGTGTCAGCCTTATTTATCGATAACAATGAGATTAATGATTTGCATCTGGTCTCAATAAGACCTCACGGAGGCCTGTGCTGTTGGGGCTGGCTACTTAGTAAGAATGTGCCTATGTGATCAATAGCACATAAGATCAGTCTAGACTCCTTTTGGGCTCCCGGGCCCCAAAGTGTCCCATGCACCCATCAGTGATTCCAGATCTGTGAAAGAAGTGTCTCCTGGCCTGGCCTTGCAAAGAGAGGACATTTAGAGCTCATGCTAGGTCTCTGGATGCCTTGCTAGGGGGCAGACTTTGGCTGTAAGGTTTATCCTTACTTGATGCTATTGCTATGTTGTATCTTTTTCCTGCAATAATCATAGATTTATAAGCATTGTTATTTGGGACCCTGTGAGTATCCCTTAATGATCAAACACTGTCTAACTGCTGCCATTAGGTCAGTTAGGATCAGAAACCCACCCACCCCCATCTCATCTGACTAAGGCATTATTTAAATAGAAAAAATATGATTCTGATAAAAGGGGTGAAAATGAGTCATTGATGCCAGACAGTTGCCGTGTCACCCTTGGTATGAAGTAGCACATGCTCTGAAATCAGTTACTGATAGTAACACCTTCTAGTGGAATCTGAAAATGGTAAAACCTGTCTTGAAGTCTAGCAAAATGGATTAGCAGGAAACTTCAAGCACACAGCAGGTCCTCTAAAATTCAGTTCCGTGGTTGCTGCACTCAATGTTCACAAAAATAAAAGCTCAGAATTTCCTTTGGTTGAGCTTTGCTCTCTCTGGCCAGGAAATGGAGTTCCAGCCGAGGGAACCTGGACAACCGTACCCATAAACTGGCTACACCTGCAAGACGAATTACAAATAAAAAGGTAATTCAAGTGGGACCAGCTGACGATGGAGGGCAAGAAGCCACGAAGGTAAGGGATTGCTGAGTGAAAGCACTGAGACATTTTGTCGTGTATTAAAAGCAGCTCCCTGATGAGCCCTTGTTGAAATGGCTACTGAGAATTTTAGACCCAGGTTCAATGTCCCTGTCCTTGAATACTGCTGAGCGGAAGAGAACATTTACTTGCTCCTGAGGGAATGTTTGGGCTCACCTTGGCTCTTTAAATGGCTGCTACTATTGCAAGGATGCTTCATGGGGCAGCTGCTAGTTTACTAGACGGAATCAAGGGAGTGATCTGTCATACACATCCGAGAAGTCTGAGCCCCCGATTCTGATGTGTTTCATGCACAAGTCGATGGTTTCTAATCAAGAGAGAAAGTGTTTCAAAATTGAGATGTGTGGACCATGGTCGGGCTCTAGCCCGGCCAAGGTTCTCTGCCTGGGTGGGAAGTGATTCTTTTTCTGTTCGGATTCAAGTAGACGAATAATGAAACTGAAGCTGAGATCAACACAGCACAAGCTTTATTCAGTGGCCAAGAATGGGCAAGCAGGAACTAAGTTCACAAATCAACTTCTCGCCCACCTGGTGAGGGTGATTTAATTTTAAAGAGTAGAGATAAAGGGAGGAGGAGTGAGGCTAAGGATGGGGGGGCATATGCATTAATCTCCTGGGGAAAGGGCAGGTCTTTTTCCAGGGAGTGGGTGCCACCCCTTTTTTTGTATCCATATTTTGTTCCTTAATGTCCAGTCCTGGCCACTGGTAGTTGTGTCATATAATATGCTAATGTAGTAAAATCAACATATAATGAGACTCAGGGTCTGT